CCTTTGCAGGCAACCAGGAAGTCCATTGTGTACATGAGAATGGCAAGGTATTATGATAGCACCTCACATATTCAAAGTTGGAAATATCCAGGATCACACAAGTGGGTTTTCAGGGATGCTATATATCATTTATCATTTGCTTCAATTGTTATTGGCCCAATGAGTTTCTATTGCCCAGTAAAAAAAAGTATTCACTGAGTTTAAAAAAAAACTGATGGACAGGATTTCCCCAGGCCTGGAGTAGTTTGACCAATGATGAGAAAGTTGGGAAAATAAAGGCAAGAATAAAAAAGTCAGACTCTTGACATTCAGAAATTTTTTTCAAATTTTCCCATTCATCTTTAAGTGGTGACTTCAGAATCTCACTATTGTGCAGTGACTATCTTATTTCCATGCATTTGCATCTCACTATGCCATGTCCAATTCCCCTCTCCTTCCTGAGAAATTAGATGGCGTAAATTCCCAACATAAAAATCATAGCAGATATGACATCTGCAGGTCGCCAAATGCTGGTTCCGGCCATCACCTAATCTGTCTTCAGCTTGATACGCCTGCGTCCACCATGGACACTACGATCCTTGCTTTTTGTCCACAAAAACAGCACAGCCAAACCAATAACCTTACCACATTATCATGCCTGATCTCGGTTCAATTCAAATACCACTTCAGCCCTTCAGATCTTTGGAGCTCAGGGGCAACAATTGCTTGTATGCCTCTGCCAGGTCACTTTGTATGCAGGTACATACATACATCTAAACAGAATGCATGTTATGCCTCTTGGCTCACTTTCTTAGCACTCACTCATTTTGTCCTTACTTGGAGGCTGCCAGCCTATGTGTCTTGCATTGCTTATATTAGCACATAGGGTCTTCAGTGGTCAGTTGCAGGCTGCAACCTCTGTGGGTATCATTTTGCAGAGCGAGAAACATGCAGCTTGTCACACTGGGAAGCAGTGAACAGGAGGTGGACGAGTCACTGTAGTGCATGGTCCTATGTCAGCATCAGATCTACAGCATGTGCCAGCAGTTTAAGCAGCTAACACACTTAATGTAATTCCAGCAAATGGTCATATCTGAAAATCAAAGGGGAGAAACCCTTACTGGGGTTAAGGGGATTACAGTCACAGTTTGTCATGATTCTCATCCAATTCTGGTCAAAGTAGATGGCCATAATTAATCCTGCAGGTCAAGTGCAACCAGTTCAAGGATTACAGATCACTCTGGGTGCTGTGGAGACATCAGTGTGGCAGTGAGACACAGTGGGGGATGGTTACTGAGTATTTTGTCCTCATCTTTTTTTATATGAAGAGAAGTTGAGACCGAGGTACCAAGTGGTCTGTTCCAAGCCAACAAAGTAAACAGCTTGAGAGTCCTTGGTTTTTTTGTTAAGTTGGAACAATAGAACCAGCATGAAGGGGTGGGGTCAAGTCCCCACAGAACCAGGCTTTTAGTTTTACTTTCTACAGCCGTTGAGTTTGGAATTGGCTATACATCTCTCCCTGCTACAGCAAAATGCTCACGTTCTCTCTCTCTCATTCAGTTTTCTCTTGATGTTCTTTCCTCCTGGACTGGAGAATTGCATGCAAGATAATCTATTTGACTGAATGTGCCTTTGCTAAGGGTGTGTTTATGGGATGTTGCTACATTGGAACACTTGCTGGTTTAGTAGTTAAATAATCTACTATTCTGTTAGAGTTGAGTTATTCCAATTCTTCTTTCCTTTGTTTGTATTTTAACTATACTGTAAGAATAAAGTGTGTTTTGCTTCAAGCCTGGTAGTTTGATAAATTTAATTGCAACCAGAACACAATGCCTCCTTATTCTTGCCTTTAAAAATAAGAAAAAGTTGGGGTCTAGGCTATCTCTTAATATATTTTGAGGGAGTTCGACTGGGTCCATAACAATATCCACAAAGAAAAGTCTCCATGTTTGTCAAACATAATTTCCCTATCATTAATCTATGATAACTCTGTCTAATTTTACTGTTACTTTCTAAGTATCCAGTTATCATATCCTTTACAAAGTTCCCTGCCACAAATGTCAAATTAACTGGTCTGTAGTTCTCTATTCTTCCTATTCCACCCTTCTTAAATAGTGTGGTTACATTTGTATTTTCCAATCTGGAGGAATATTTCCAGAAAATATAGACTTTTTTTAAAAAAAGATAACTACCAATGCACTAATTTTCTCTATAGCCACCAATTTCAACAGTCTAAAAGATATAACTCATCTGGAGTCATGAAATCACAGAATTAAAGAATTGATATGGTGCAGAGGTGAGTATCTCACGGAGTACCATTTCCTAGTTTTCTCCCTCTAAGCATGTACATTAGCTCATGGGCAGGAAACAGTGAGCGGGGATAAAGTGTACTCTCTCAGGTTGGCAATGCATGACCAGTGGGGTTCCAAAGGGATCAGTGCTGGGACCACAACTGTTTACAAATATATAATATTAACTTGGAGGAAGGAAGTGAATGTGCTGTAGCCAAATTTTCAGAGGATATAAAAGTAGGTGGAACAGCAGGATGTGAGAGGGATCTAAATATTTTACACTGAGATAGAAATAAGTGAGCAAAATGTCAGCAAATGGAGTATAATGTGGGAAAATGTAAAGTTGTTCATTTTGGATCGGAGAACAAAAGAACAAAGTATTATTTAAATGTAGAAAACTCCAGAAAGCTTTAAACACAACACAAAACGTAAGTAATTTTCTGTGCACAAAACACAGAAAGCTAGCATACAGGTGCAGCAGGTAATCAGGGAGGTTAATGGAATGTTGGCCAATCACCCTGAAATAAGAACAGGGAAGCCTTACTACAACTGTACAAGGTGCTAGTAAGATCACATCCGGAGTACTCAGAGCAGTTTTGGACCTGTTATTTAAGGGAAGATATTTCATTGGAGGCAGTTCAGAGAAGGTTCACTCAGATGATCCCTGATATGGAGAGATTGTCCTATGGGCAAGGACTAAACAGGTTGGGACTCTACACACAGGAGTTTAGAAGAATGAGGGGTGATCTCATTGAAGCATATAGAATTGTTAAGGGCTTGGTAGGGTAAATTCTGAGAGGATGTTTCCCTTCATAGGAGAGTCTAGGACCAGAGGGTTATAGTCTCAGAATAAAAGGGCACCAGTTTAAGACTGAGATGAGGAGGACTTTTTTTTTCCTCTCGGAGGTTTGAGAGTCTTTGGAACTCCTAGCGACAGATAACTGTGGGGTCCTTGTATTAATTTGAGGCTGAGATAGATAGATTCTTGATCAGTAAGAGAATCAAGGGTTATGGGAAATGGGCAGGATGTGAGAAATGTTGGACCATCCACGATTGTATTGAATGGCAAAGCAGATTCGAGGGGCTGAACAGCCTATCCCGGTTCCTATTTCTTATGGTCTTATTGGTCCTTCAAGTAATTCTCTAATACGCCTCTAATGCCTCAATTCAATTTACCTCCACTGCACTCTCAAGGAATGCATTCCAGACCCTAATCACTTGCTGCATAAAAGAAAATATTTCCTCACATTAATTTGCTTTTTTCATGAATTAATTTAAATCTGTGCTCACTCAATCTCAATATTTTCATGAGTGGGAACACTTCTCCTGATTTATTTCATCCACACCTTTCACGATTTTGAGTACAAGGACACCCAGCTCCTTTCGGACATCAACTCTTCCCAGCCTCTTACAATTTAAGAAATATTCCATCTTTCCATTTTCTTTCTACCGTCAGAGAACTTCACATTTATTTGCATATATTCCACCTGCCATGTTGTTGCCCATTCACTTAGCATATTCCAGACCACTCAAGGCATCCTTGCATCTTCCTCACAACTTACCTTCCCACCTAGTTTCATTTCATCAGGAAATTTGCAAGTATTACAGTTGGTATCAGATCGCCTCTGAATTATTTTCTTCTCCAAGTCTCAACTTCTCCCATCTATCTTCATAGCTGAAATTCCAAATCCCTGGAACCATTCTTGGAAAGCTTTTCTGCACTCTCTCCAATGCCGTCACACCCTTCCTAAATGTAATGCCCAGAATTGGACACAACATTAAATGCTCAGCTCTATTTTTTCTGACTTAATTGACAAAGAAGCTTTCTCAGGCACTCAGGAGTGTTAAGAGTCAACCAGGTTTGATGTATCATCTTAGTGCTGGGTAGGTAAGGTGGGTGGTGGTAGGGAGGGTAGATTTAGTGGAAGGTATTAACAAACCGGTTAAGATTTCATAACAAATCTGTAAGTTTCATTGTTTGCCTGAATAATTTTTTTACAAAACTAAATAGAATTCCTCCACCTACCATGGCAGCCGGTGAGGGGGGGGCAGGAATGAATACATGCACTGTACCCAGTATTATCTCTGTATTCTCACATAAAAAATAAGCAGTGTTATATAAACAAGTGAATGATTCAATATGTAAATATCTCAGTGATGATGATATTGCGCAAGAGTGAGGCTGAATTTAGAAATGTAAAACTAGTGGTAAATAATTATTGGTCATCTTTTTCTCATAAAGGGTGATAAGATACCTTGAGGAATCATTTGGATTGATAAATTGAGATACAGACTTTAAACACATTTAAGACAAAGATGGATACCTGGTTTATGAGTTGCCACACTAAAGGGAGGAGGTTCACCGCTGATTACCCACTTCTCAACCCTAACTTACATTCTCACATCATTCCTGGCTGTGAATCATGAAACTATTATTATTCTGCAATCATGGTGTCACAATTGAATTTGTACTTGTGCTTTATGTAACCACCTGAACCCCTCAGTGCTTGTTAAGTGATACTGTCTGAGCCATGTATTATTATTAACATTCTGGTGGAGGTTAAGAAAATGTTAATCTTGGAGACTGGAGCAGGAGTGTAATCTCACTAAATTTCATGAAGCACCCTACCATAATACCCTTTCCCCAAGACAAGCTTGCAATTTTTTCTGTTCATCACAAAACAATCTTAATTGTTAAGCACCCACCCGCCCCGGTACTGTTAGTAAATGAGAGAAGAACAAGCCGACTCACTTTGTTGGATGGACTTCACTCCTCTCAACATGGTTGCAGCAAAAATGTAGAGGCATCCTTTGTGATCAAACTGCACCTCGCCCATAAGACTAAATGATGCTCCCAGGCAGATGGGCATCATGGCAGTGTACTTGAGAATGTGATGGTCCTTACCCAGAAAGAGCTTTGATATGGCTATAGTAAAGAGAGGGGTAGTGGTGGAGATCACTTGTGCAAAGGAGAGCTGCACACAATTGAGTCCCATGTTTCCAAAGCCGATGGTGGCACAGAAGGTCAAGCTGAGCAGGAACACTTTGAATTTAGCAGCAGCAGGTAACCCGGTGACTTCTTTAATCTCCAGGTTGACGAATCCCATCCGGATTAAAGCGTAGTCGATAACAATGGCCGTGAGCATGTGCAGCGCCGACAGCAGGAGGGGGTACCGGAAATTGTAGACGGCGAAGATGCATTTGTTGAGGCTGGTTATGGTGGTGCCGGTGGCGAGAAGGACAGCCACCGCGGCCAGAGTGTGCAACATCCGCCTCTTCTTGTGGGCCGGCCCGGCCGCTGGCTCGCATATTGGCGGAGCAAACTCCGGGAACACATCAGTAGTTGTCATGGTAACTCCATCGCTGGCTGAAAAGATAGTCTTTGAGTTACCTTTCTCCTCTCCCGTGTCCTCTAACGCTCCTAGGCGGTGAAATTCCAGGCAGACCCTCGCTGCTCTCCCGGGATAACAAGTACTCAATAGTTCCACAGTCACCGCCCATTGAACATAATGTGCCCGTTAACGTTTCGCTTAATGTTTTCCCCTCCTTTAGGATACTAAATCAGATCCCTCCTGAAGCAGCTGGGGAGACGTCTAAGATCATTGAAACGCGGTTCCTGAACTCACCACGCCTTGCTGTAGTCAGATGCTGTCTGATGAATCAGGCTCCGCTTTGTAACGTCTTAATAATCCGTTCCAGTTTTGCTCACTTCGGCCTCCAACAAGCTGCTCACAGCCTCGGCTGCTCCAATGAATCAAGCGCAGAAATCCGCAGGATCACACACCAGACGTCACATTTCCAAATTTAGACTTTGATGAGGCGGTGCCAGCCTGGGCAGCTTCCAATATGCAAAACAAAAACACAAACCGAGTGCAAAAGGGGTATTTTCCCCCCTCCTTCTCATGAATTGTGAAGAATAACAACACACACGTTTAATGTTTGATGACGACGACGACGACCATCAGACATCGTATTTAAATCTATGACGGTGGGGTCCTGCCGTACTTCACACGCATTGAAAAACGCCAGGTTTTGTTTACACTGCAGAAACCGTATCCCTTTCACATGACATTTGTAACACCATTTACATCCTTCTTACAAATGTTGTAACGCTTAATGTCGCCTATAAACAAAATCCATCAGAATTTTAAAATTTTTCATTAATTCTTGTGCAAACTTGAAAATTCTCGGTCGTACTTTGATTTCCTTATTAAAAAATTAATCCGCATAAAACACTAACTCGAAAACCATCACTGTCTTGAAATAAAATTCACATGGTTAAGGTCGCAATTTTGCAGTAATTGAATTGTAGGTGTAAATTTGCAGAGGACACCCATTTCGGCAGACACAGTTAATTGTGCAGATGGAGACCGGAAGTTATAGAACAGCAAATAGACCAAGTGAGTCAGTAAGTTTGAGGCAGTTCGATTTCAATGTGGATTTTCTTTTAAGATCAGAGGACGAGATATTGGAACCCATGTAAAAGGTGAAAGTCGAGGCCTCGTGCATGACAAAAAGTGAGATATCGAACGTTTTAAACACCACAATTAGATGGGCCCTCAAGCTTTCTACGTGAATGGAACGGAAATCAAGTTAACGCAGGCTGGGCAAATAAGTTAGCTCTTTAAACATTATCTACACTGCACCACACCAAGTCCAGAGATATTTGCCAAAATATCTGCTTGACCGACATAAACTTTTGATATAGGTGCCTTTCCAGTGTCCCACACAATATTCATTTCAATTCTCAAACACGTCTGCCATGATGTTATTGAATGGACCTATTTCCGCTCCTAATTTGTCTGTCAGTCTGAATGAATTGCTGACCATGTCATCTCCGCCACCCCTCTTATTTCTCGATGTCCATACTTTATTTCTTGTCTCATTACTATTCCTCCTTTGCCTTGCACCACCGTCCCCTTCGTCATTTCATCTATCCTGCCTTTCAAAGAGCATCCCTTTTTTTTTGTCTCTCCACTTGCCCCGCTTCCGTTTTTTGCTTGAAACCTGTAGCATCTTTAATCTCTGCAGTTCTGACAAAAGGACTTGCATTTCAAACGCTAACAACTTCTCGCTCAGCGGCTGTTGCCTGACCTACTGAGCATTTCCAGCATGTTCTGTTTTTATTTTTGATGTACGAAGGCTCACAACCCACATAATGTATTCTACTTCGCTGCATATACTTATTTTAAAGCGTATCAGATTAATGATTTAAGATTTAGTATGTTTTTATAATGTTTACATATTTAATATACATTTTTATGAACGATGCTACATTCTTTAAGAGTTAAAGCCTCACCTTCAGTTGACCCAGGACAATATAAGGGATGGTTCTTGCACTAGATGTGTACACCTGACACTGAACTAAGTATCCAGCTGCTTCCCTGGATGCTGTTGTCAAGGCCGGATTCCGTTGGCATGGGAAGGTTGACGCATGCCATCATGTGACATGGCGTTCGGAAGCCATCCGCACCGGCGTTTGCCGAAAGGCCTCATGGACGATGTAGTCCCTTCGTGACGTCACGCCATTCACAGCGACGCCTCCGTGACTACACGCCCTATGGGGCGCCGAGGCACACTGCGCCTGCGTCCCGAGGACCAACGCGAGCAGGGGATGGGGGAAATCGAAGATGGCGGCGCCCAAGGAGGTATCAGATTCAGACTCTGACAGCGTGGAGGAGCTGTCCCGCCTCAAAGAGGCTACTTGGAATGTCGGCAACTCCAGTTCTCACAAAATAATAGGTAGTGGGCGCTTTTCTTTGTAAGATTTACCAAATTTCGTTCATTGCTGAAACAGAAATTTGTGGAGAGGCTCAGGAGGTCTGGCAGCATCAGGGGAGAGAAAACTGAGTTTTGAAGAAAGGTCACTCGAACCTTCAACTCAGATTTCTCTTCACAGATGCTGCCAGTTTTTCCAGCAGTTCTGTTTATGTTTCAGATCCCGAGCATCGCAGTCCTTTGTTTTACTCGTCCATCGCTGCTTCCAGTTGTAATCTATTTTATGTATTGCACTGGGAGAAATCAACTTAGTTCCATCCTTGGAAATGAAAACAAAAATGCTCAGCAGATTTGGCAGTATCCAAGAAGATAGAAAGAGAGTTAACGTTTCAGGTTAATTGTGTCCTTCTCCATCATAGAAAATATACTGCTCCAAGGGATTATGTTAGTGACAAATGACCTGGGAGGGCAATCCAATTCAAAAGCACTGAAAAAACAAAGTTATTGGCTTTAAGCGAGTACAGAGATAACGGGGAAGAGAGCAAAGTGGAAAGGTGAGAGGCCAGAGGAATTAAATGATAAAGCAATATGCAAACCAAAAGGAAATGACGATTGGACACAAGTAAAAGAACAAATGAGTTATCTGCACTGAGTCATTGTTATTCACATCTGAGAAAATGAAAATGCTGATTATTATTTGAAATTGGGTGAACTCATTGCTCATAGAATCGTGGGGTCTGTTTCCATGCTCTATGACTCTTCGGTCCAACCAGTCCATGCTGAACATAATCCCAAACTAAACTAGTCCCACCTGCCTGCTTTTGGCCCATATCCTTCCAAACCTATTCTATTCATGTACTTATCCAGATGTCTTTTAAATGTTGTAATTGTACCCACATCAACCGCTTCCTCAGGAAGTTCATTCTACACATGAACCACCCTCTGTAAAAAAATTTGCTCCTCATGTCTTTTTTAATTCATGTATCTGGCTTAGAAATGATGGGAACTGAGAGAAAAAGAAATACAACTGATCAAAATGATTAAGTATCAGATACAAGGATATATAATTTAGGCGGTTTGGGACAGAAATCAGGAAATGTTTCCTTATACAAAAGATGGTAGTTATGTGAAACTCTCTTCTACAAAAGCATAGATTTATTTCAAGCAATAATTTCAAGTAGGAGTCAGTTTTTTTTTAGCTGAGGGTATAAAAGCATGTAGAGACAAAGCATATGGATAGAAATAAGATCCAAATGAGCCATGATTTCTCTTTGATGGAAGAAGCTCTGTAATCCTACCTCTGTCGCTTATGGACATTAGATTTGATGTAGGAAATCTGGCTTAATACTTTTAGAAATTTCTAAAATTAACTTGCCCTTTGTCAGTTGATCAATTTCAGTAACAGCAGTTACTAAATACAGAACATAGGATAGTGCTTCACCACAGTCTGATCAATTTTGACTTGTTTGTAAGCTTTCTTCATTTCCGTGACACCAGTTTTTATTGCATCCACTGTTGTTTTTGTGTGTTGGGCCTGGAAGTCTATAATGAGCTTAATCAAAAAATGTGATGTTCTGTTCATAATTGCAGAATTGTTACAGTGTAGTAGGAAGCCATTTAGCACTTTGTGTCAGCACCAGATGTCTGAACAAGTATTTCCCTGGCTGACATCCTCCTGCATTTACCCTGTAACTGTGCACATTCTTCTTCTTTGGAAAAATGTCTAACTCCCTTTGCTGGGATTGGAGAATTTGAGCCATAGGGAGAGGCTGAATAGGCTGGGGCGTTTTCCTGGAGCATTGGAGGCTGAGGGATGATCTTGTAGAGGTTTATAAAATCATGAAGGGCTTGGATAGCGTGAATAGCCAAACTCTTTTTCCTAGGGTAGATGAGTCCACAACCAGAGGGTGTAGGCTTAAGATGAGGGGAAAGATTTAAAAGGAACCTGAGGGGCAACTTTCTCACGCAGAGAGTGGTGCACGTATGGAATGAGCTGTCACTGGTGGTGGAGGCTGGTACAATTACAACATTTAAAAGGCATCTGGATGGGTACATGAATAGGAAGAGTTTAGAAGAATATGGGCCAAATGCTGGCAAATGGGACTAGAATCAGTTTAGGATATCTGGTCGGCATGGACAAGTTGGACTGAAGAGTCTGTTTCTGTGCTGTATAACTTTATGACTCTGACTGCTTTGAATCTGCCTCCACAACACACTCAGGCATTTCAGACCTTAACCACTTGTTGCATGAAAGAGTTTTTCTTGTTGCTTTTGCTTCTTTTGCCAATTGCTTTAAACCTGTGACCTCTTGCTCTCGGTCTCCTCACAAGTGAAAATAGTTTCTCCTTCTTTGCTCCATCCAGACCCCTTGTGATTTTGAATACCTCTTTCAGATCTCCTCTTGGCTTTCCCTTTGCCAAAGAAAACAATAATAACATATCCAGTTTGGCTTCATAACTGAAGTCTCTCATCCTGGAACCATTCTCCTGAATATTCTCAGCACTCTCCAGTACCTTCACATCTTCCTAAAGTGTGGCACCCAGAATTGGACACAATGCTCCAGCTGAGCCTGAACATGTGCCCCATACGAGTTCAACATAACCTCCTTGCAATCGATTCAGGCAACAAAGCCTGGGAAGGATACTGTGAGTTTTATTAACTGCTGTGTTAACCTGAGCTTCCATTGCGTCTCATTATAACAGAGTTGGAGGTCAAAGACGAGAGTGATCAGATTTTCAAAAGTCAAAACCAGGATATATTGAAAAGCCTTGGGAAGGTGATGATGCTTGAGTTGGATGTCCAATGGTGAGAGTCTAGATGAAGAGTGGTTAATGGTAGAAGGTCACATGAGGACATCTCCTGGAATACGTGAAACCAGACTTGACAACCCTCAATTGTTGGAAACAGTAGTTATAAATATTGACTTTTGTTTCAATGAATTTCTCTCTCATTCTCTTTAAAAAGGCAAACTAAGGCATTGGATGACACAGCATCACAGAATCCTCCATTTTACTCTAACTCTACTGTACAATGCTCAATGGCAGGTCCAATCTGCATTTAAAAACCTTGTTTATTTTAATTTGTTCACTGGGTTTGAGCAATACATATTTTCAGGCAGATGCTCTAGTTTAAATTAATGAAATTACTTCAGTACGAGTTTTGTTTGCGTCCAGTTGGGCATGCACATAACCTTTCAATGACTCAGCTGAACTTGCCTGCCACATTCCTCAGCAGCAGTTGATTATTGATGGGTGTGTCTGACTACCTTTTCAAGTGCTGTGGTGAACACTGGTGTAAGTCATCTGTCATAACACAGAGGCTACTTCCCAGCTGGTTCACGTGTGGTCATGGGATTAATTTGAAGGCAGTCTTGAGGATAAATTACTTGGGAATGTCAACATGGAAGCCTGAGCCAAGGGACCTCAACATGAGCTGCCAGAGGAAACGGTGGAGATGGATACAGTTACAACATTTAAAAGGCATCTGGATGGATATATGTATAGAAAGGGTTTAGAGGGATACGGGCCAAATGCTGGCAAATGGGACTAGATTAATTTAGGATATCTGGTTGCCGTGGACAAGTTGGACTGAAAGGTCTGTTTCCGATGCTGTACAGCTCTATGACTCTATTTCTAGGTGCTGGTTATGTGTTTTCCAGAGACATAAAGAAAACCATTTATCTGACAAGGTGGCTTTATGCCATGCCTACCAATTGCAGTGGTGAGGTTTCAGCAGTGAGACCCACTGCCAACTAAGATGCTTAGTTACAGACAAGTTGCAGAAGAACCTTCTGGTCAAATAGGATGACTCTGTGTCAGGCCCACCACTTTGTTGCCCAAATCTTTTGCAACTAACACAAGGCTTGTTAAGAGCATAAATGGTAATAGATTTTTTTCAAATTTAAATTTTATTTGTTAAAAATTTCCATGACATTGGTTTCATTTTATTATGTGTGCGTCATCACTATATATTGAGATTGGCTTAGTCAAAGATCTAAATGTGCTGGCATGGCTAATTGTTGGTTCACATTGATGGTTACAGTGGTGTAAGAGACATTTCCTTCTTGTGGAAGTAACAATTTTGTGCCTTTTCACTTTTTTTTAATTGAAGGTTCATGATAGTGTCGAGTATTGTACTCACCACTCTGTAGCACACAGTTGAACTTGCAGACTCAGCTGGCCCTCTCTTCTATGTATTGGAAAATACATTGTCCAAGTTCACCCTCAACAGGGATAATTGAAATGCTATAGGTGAACTCAAAGCCCTGCAAGGATCCTGCCAGCCAAGACTCTGAGATATAGGCCCACATCTGGATGGTACTATTACACACTTTAGGCCCCTTACTTTCTTACCTTGGTGATCTGTCTTCATCACGCCCATGATACCTCATCCTTTACACTTTACTGTTGCATGCCCCCACACTACCCCATTCTCTGTCCTCCCTTGAATCCGTCTTCTGCTGTTCCATTGCCTTGGCCCAATTTTGCAGATCTCATTTCATCATTTTGCTGGTCCAGAGCCTCTAGGCAAGCCGTCTTTCTCCTGTTCTCCTCCCTTGTGGTGTGTAGTCATCAAAGAAACTGTTGACCTCAGACACAGCTGCCTGATGTCACCTGGTGCATGCAACCTGTTTAAAAAAAAATGACTGGGTGCCAAGAGATTCACATACAGCACTGACCTTATTTTGAAAACAGAACTTCATTAAAAAATCATTCTAAACTAATGTATGTAAATATACTACAAGTTTAAACCTCCCACAGAATGGCGAAGCGTGATGCGCTGCTGTCTTATCTCGATCCAGCGCCAGGAAATTTAAATTTTGCATCCCACCTAATTCAGTCACCCTCCACACTATATTTCCCGCCCTTTCAGGCTTCATCTTACCACCATCACCTCCTCCACACCTCTAATAATCGTACACCAAAATTAAAATTTTATTACACTATAGAAATGTGCAAAATAGAAGGCAGCTCATTACCACCTTCTCAAGGGCAACTAGGGAAGGGAGGTAAATGCTATATTATTTTATAATATTCATAAAATACTATTTGTACCAGAGTATCAAACCACACAAACATTCTACAAAAATAGCCTGTTTGTTTTCATTAGTATTATTCTACATTTCTTGAAAACTTTTTTTTCATTATTACTTTCCAAAAATTCTAAAGGGGATCTGTTTATTGGAGTATGTCTGTTTAAAACAGATGTAATGCATGTTACAATCTAGTTTCCCATTCACAATGTTGGTAACTGTGCCTTTTTTCCCCCTTCATTAGCTGAGACCGGTGAAGACAAGCATATTTCAGTTTCAAATAGACCAAGTCTGAGGTATCTATACGCAATCTTTAATGTATCTACAACTAAGTTTTCTTTTCAACTATCAGAGGGTGCAGTATGTTTGACGTTATGGAATTTATAAGTGCTGCAGGGACTGTGTTCATGTTTTATAGTTCAGTTATCACTGAAAAGAACATGTTAAACTTTTTTAAGAGTTATTCTAGTGCTCATTCTTTATTGTTGTTTTGAAATGCATAGCTCATTAAATTCAACACCACTGTGGTCAAACTTTCAAGAGTTCCTGCTCTAATACTATAAGAATGTCATCAGTCCAGAGACTGGAAGGTTCAAGAATATGATCCATCACCACTTTGTTTGGGCAATTTGGAACAGACATATAGTAAATATGCAAACGCCTGGAACAAGCCATTAACAAAAATGTAGACGCAGTCTTTAGCCAATGCAGCTTGTTGGAAATTCACAACCGTGACTTTGTTTTCTCATGATTGAACCAAACCTGGTGGTTTGAAATGGTTCATTTAAATACAGCATTATGGGCATGTGTAGGCATAAAAGAGTTCAGCTAACTGAGGTAAGAAAGAACTAGTGGTGTTAATTAGCACCATTTACATCTGCTGGCAGTGCTTCTGCCTTTTATTCCCTTCCTCTCCTGCCCACTGTCCCAGGTTGAAATTCAGTTTGTTTGTTCACAACCTTGTCAACAATCTTAATGCTGAGCTAAATTTATGATACCATATTTTTTTCCATCACAAAGACTGCCTACTTACTCCACCATAATATTGGCTGTCTTTGGTGTCAGCTCACTTGCTGTCAAAGCTGTATTGTACTGTTTCCATCTTTGATACCCTCCTGGCCTCCCTTCTGTAATGTATAAACTGCAGTGCATCCAAAGCTCTACTGCCTTATCTGAAACTGCATCAAGTCAGCCTCACCATCAACCTGTGTTCGTTAACTTTTATTGGTTTCTTGCCTGCAACATTTCCAGTTTAAAATTCTGAGCATCTTGTTCAGATCCCTTAGTGGCCATTCCCCTCTCTCTGGAATCTTCAAAACTCTGCCCTTCCACTAAACTTCCCCCTTCGATGGATATGTCTTCAACAGTATAAACCCTAAGTTCTGGACTCTTCCTTCAAATACTTTTTTTTTCTTCATCTCCTCCTTTAAAACTCTCTGTTGTAGTTGCAGTCATACTTCTGTCCGTGTCAATATTTGTCAAGTACAGTTTGTGGTCTGTATTAAAGCTGCTATGAGCTGCATGTTATTTTCAGTTTCCAAACTGCTGAAAAGTATTTTTTGTTATTCACTCATGGGACATGAGTATCGCTGGCTGGCCAGCATTTATTGCCTGTCCCCTTGATGCCTGCGAGAAGGTGCTGATAAGCTGCTTTCTTGAACCGCTGCAGTTCATATGCTGTAGGTAGACCCATAATGCCCTCACAGAGGAAATTCCAAGATTTTGACCCAGTGATGGTGAAGGAATGGTGATATATTTCCAAATCAGGAAGGTGAGTGACTTGGAGGGGAACTTGCAGGTGGTGGCATTCTGTGTATCTGATTCTCTGGTCTTTCTAGATGGCAGTGGTCATGGGAAGGTGCTGTCTAAGGATTTTGTAGATAGTACACACTGTTGCTGCTGAGCATTAGTGATGGAGGGAGTAGATGTGGGGCCAATAAGGTGGACTGCTTTGTCCTGGATAGTGTCCAGCTTCTTGAGCGTTGGAACTACACCCATCCAGATAAGTGGGGAGTATTCCATCATACTCCAGACTTGTGCCTTGTAGATTGTGGACAGGCTTTGGGGAGTCAGGAGGTGAGTTACTCGAGTCTCTGACCTGTTCTTGTAGCCGCAGGATTTATATGGTGAATCCAGTTGAGTTTCCGGTCAATGGTAATCGCCAAGATGTTGATAGTGGGGGATTCAGTGAAGATAACCCCATTGATTGTCAAGGTGCAGTGGCTAGATTGTCTCTTATTGGAAATAATCATTGCCTGGCATTTGTGTGGCACAAGTATCACTTGCCACTGATCAGCAAAATCCTAGATATTGTCCAGATCTTGTTGCATTTGATCCCGTTTCAGTATCTGAGGAGTTGCGAATACATACCCACTTCTGATCTTATGTTAGAGGAAAGGTCATTGATGAAGCAACTGAAGGTTCTTGGGCCTTAGACACTCACGTGTGGAACTCCTGCAGAAATGTTCGGAGCTGACCTGCAACAACTATGACCATCTTCCTATATACAAGAAACAAGAACAGAACTTGCTGGAAAAACTCAGCAGGTCTGGCAGCATCTGTGGAGAGAAGGCAGAGTTAACGGTTCGGATCCATGACCCTTCTTCAGACCTGTCTTCAGCAATTTCTGGGATGTGCAGTTCTTTGATTTTTTTTTCCTATGTTCCAGATATGACTCCACCCAGCAGACATTTTGTCCCCCTGATTCCAAATGATTCCTGTTTTGCTAGTCTCCCTAATGCCACACTCAGTTAAATACCACCTTGATGTCAAGGGAAATCATTCTCACCTCACCTCTGGAATTCAGCTCTTTTGTCCATTTTTAAATCAAGGCTATAATGAGGTCAGGAGCTGAGTGGCCTTGGCAGAATCCAAACTGGGCATCACTGAGTAGGTGCTGCTTGATAGCACTGTTCGTGACACTTTCCATCACTTTACTGATGATCGAGAGTAGACTGATGGGGAGATAATTGTTGGATTTGTCCTGTTTTTTTATGTACAGGACATACCTAGGCAATTTTCCACATTGTCAGGTAGATGCCAATGTAACTGCACTGGAGGAGCTTGGCCAGGGGAGTGGCAAGTTCTGGAGCACAAGTCTTCAGTACTATGGGGCGACACGGTGACTCAGTGGTTAGCACTGCTGCCTCACAGCACCAGGGCCCTGGGTTTAATTCCACTCTCGGGTGACTGTCTGTGTGGAGTTTGCACATTCTCCCAGTGTCTGCGTGGGTTTCCTCCAGCTGCTCTGGCTTCCTCCCACAGTCCAAAGATGTGCAGGCTCGGTGGATTGGCCATGCTAAATTGCCCATAGTGTTCAAGGATGTGTAGATTAGGTGGTTTGTAGGGGTGTGGGTCTGGGTGGGACTCTTTGAGGGTCAGTGTGGATTTGTTGGGTTGAAGGGTCTGTTTCCACACTACAGGGATTCTAAGCAATGGCATATTGCTGGAATGTTGTCAGGCCCCATAGTCTTCGCAGTATCTAGTGTCTCCAACCATTTCTTGATATCACCTGAATAAATCAAATTCAGTGAAGACTGACATCTGTGATGCTGGAGACCACTGGCAGAGGCCAAGATGGATCATCCATTCGGCACAGCTGGTTGAAGATTGCTGCAGATGCTTCAGCCTTATCTTTTGCACTGATGTGCTAGGTTCCCCTGTTATTAAAGATAGGGATATTTGTGGAGCCGCCTCCTCCAATGAACTGATGATTGTCCATCACCATTCACAACTGCATGTGGCTAGACTGCAGAGCTTAGATCTGTTGGCTGTGGGTTCATTTAGCTCTGGCTATCACTTGCTTCTTATGTTGTTTGGCAGGTAGCTTCGCCAGATTGACACCTCATTTTCAGGTCGTTTTGGTGCTGCTCCTGGCATATCCTCCTTCACATTGAGAATACCCAACATTGTATTGTGTGCCACTATCACCGTGCTAAATGGGAGAGACTTCGAACAGATCTAGCAACAGTTTCAAACAGTGCCCTTCTGCACTCTCCATTGAACAATGGTTGAGTGGGGGATATGCCAAGCCATGAGGTTGCAGATTGTGTTTGAGTACAGTTCTGCTGCTGTTGATGGCCCACAATGTCTCATGTTTGCCCAGTCGTGAGTTGCTAGATCTGTTCAAAGTCTGTCCATTTAGCATGGTGATAGTGCCACACAACATCATGGTGGGTATTCTCAATGTGAAGGCAGGGCTTCATCTCTACAAGGTCTGTGTGGTGGTATCTCTTACCGAAACTGTCATGGACAGATGCATCTGTAGTCAGCAGATTGGTGAGGATGAGATCACGTTTTTCCCACTTGTTGGTTCCGTTATCACCTGCCACAAACACTGTCTAGTGGCTGTGCCCTTTAGGACCCGATTAGCTCAATCAGTAGAACCACTTTTGGTGCTGGATGTTGAAATACCCCATCAAGAGTTTATTTTGCACCCTTGCCACCTTCCATGTCTCCTCCAAGTGTTGTTCAACATGGAGTAACGATGCGTCAGCTGAGGGAGGACAGTACTTAGTAAGCACCAGAAGTTTTCCTTGCCCATATTTAACCTGAAACCATGAGACTTTGTGGAGTCTAGAATCAATATTGAGGCCTCCCATGGTAATTCCATTCCAATTGTATGCCACTGTGCTGCCAGGTCTGTCCCACTGGTTGGACAGAACATATCCGGGAATGGTGATATTGGTATCTGGGACGCTGCCTGTAAGGTATGAAGAGGCAGATAAGACTGTTGTTTGATTTCTCTGTGAGACAACTAGAGTCACTCTCCCCTAGATTTTAGTGAGGAGGACTTTGTGGGGTTGATAGAGCTGTTTCTGCCATTGTCTTTTCCGATGCCTAGGTTGATGCCAGGTGGTCCGTCTAGTTTCATTTCTTTGTTGAGAATTTGTAGCAATTGATACAACTGAGTGGATATTTCAGTGTGCGGTTGAGAGTCAACCACATTCTTGTAGGTCTGGAGACACATGTAGGCCAGAGCAGGTGAGGATGGCAGATTTTCTTCCCGGAGGACATTAGTGAACAGATGAGTTTTTCTGACAATCCACAGTGGTTTCATGGTCATTTCCTGGTCTTAATTCCAGATTTTTAAAATTGAATTCAAATGCCGCCATCTGCTGTAGTGAGATTTGAACCTGGAACCCCAGAACATCAGCTGACTTTCTGGGTTAACAGTCTAGCAATAATACCACTAGGTCATTGCCTCCCCAAGTCTTACTTAATATTATACTGTTAAAGATGTATTCTGAATTCACTTCATAAAATGGAGTTTGACAAATTAACAGGGTTAATTAACTATTAATTCATTCTATTGGAATTCAACATAAATAACAGTTATAAATGTTGCTTTTGATTTGATAGTGCAAGCCAAGTCCTTAAGTATTTGCCATTCATAATTTCTATAGTGTCCCTCACTGAAAAACTCGGATGCGTATTTGTGGCTCTCCTAAAAGTCTCTTACACTCCTTAAGATTTATTTTATTCCTGTTTTCTCCCTTCCTACAGGCAGAAAGTAGATGATCACCAGCACGATGGAAATGAGCTGCGGACAACGCCTGAATTTCGGTGTCATGTTGCAAAAAAGCTGGGTGCTTTGCTAGATAGGTAGGAAGAGTTAGTACTCTTACAGTGAATTGTTGGCTGTATATGTAACCTGTATTCATGTCACACTGCATTCCCAGGCAACCTGCTTTTGTTTTTACACTACTGTTTGCTCGAATTAGGTATTCCTTTGCTTGCTATGGAGGAACAGTGGTAATCATAAGCAATTAAGACTAACTTAAGAATTAACAGTTCTGTTTGGCAAAAGTAGTTGTTTAATCAAAATTGGAAAACTGTCTTTTAATTTTTTAAATCTGTAAATATATGAAATGTGTGTGCAGTGTGAGATGTATCAGTAAAATCAGAGCTAGGAGATATCTTCTCTTGCAGCACCTGATTTCTGTTACTTGGACTGTACTGTAGGATTTGCAAAGCTCACTTGAACATTAAGTGGTGAAAAATTAGGTACTCCAGTAGCCATAGAAAATTGAATTGCTTTCATCATTTTGACCTTGTTGCATAATTACTAGCTTTTAACCTTCTGAAGACATCTGCCTCCACTTGATTTATGCTCTGCACTACATTGACTCCTTGTCTAATGACCATGCTTGTCTCATTATGACCCTGTAAAGCACCCCTGAACATTTTGGTGCACTGTATTAAAACATGTGTTCTACAGCTCAAGGGACCGGTAACCAAAAGAGAAAGTCAATCGTATTAGTTTTGTAAGTACAGAAGAGCTTTACAAAGTAAATCTAATTTATAAGGAACATTTGACCTTGCATCTTGTACAGTTTAGTGAACATGTAATTCTATTATTGACTTTGGTCAGGACATCATCAAGAACAGGTTTCAGGGCTAAGAGACCAGCATGACTTGATCTGCTGTATTTTTCTTATAAAATTACAAGATGTGCATCTAGTCTTTACATCCTGGCAATTTGATTAATTTATGTAGAACAATCAGAAACAAAAACGAAACCTCTGTGTGAAATTAAGTATAAGAAGGCTATCCATTCTTGACGCAATTTCATTTTACAAGGGGAGTTTTATTCCCCTACCATTTCCTCTGTGTAAAAGGTGGGGAGATGGTGGGAAAGTGATAACGTCACTGGAGTACTATTCCAAACAAAAACAGACTAATCCTCAGGGGGTATAGATTCCTATCTCATCATGGCAGCTGGTAAAAATGAAAGGTAATTACTTAAAAAAAAAAGTGGGATTAAAAGTTAATTTCAGTAATGATGACCATGACACTGATCATCAATTGTTGTATAAATATCGTGTGGAGGGAACAAAATCTGACCTTACTTGGTCAGACCTACATGAGACTCAAGTCTCTTGCAGTGTGCCTGACTCTTAAGTGTTGTCTGAAATGGCAAGCCAAGAGCAATTAAGAATGGGTAACAAATATTGTCCTCTATAGCAACGCTCACATCCCATGAAAGAATAAATATTTTTAAAAATGAGATTCCACTACAGAACAGTTTTGTTTTGTTCCTCCTACAACGGTCAAAACATTGGTAGAGAAAAGGAATTAGAAAGGCTGGCCTAAAAACTGATAAGTCACCACAATCAGATAGGGTGTATCCAAGGCCGCTGAGGGAAGTAAGGGTGGAAATTGCAAAAGCACTAACTGGCCATAAACTTCTAATTCTTCTTTGATACTGGGATGATGCCAGAGGACTGGAAGATTACTAATGTTACACGTTTATTCGAAAAAAGTGTAAGAACAAACCAAAATCCATCGGTTTAATCTCCATTACAAGAAATCTTTTATAAATAATAATCTGGGACAAAATTAACACTCACCTGCAGAAGTGTTGCTGATTCACAGGTATTTCATTAATTTGATGGGGCTTTTGATGAGGTAACAGATAGGTTTGAATGAATCATGCAGTTGATGTGGCACCCACAACTTTCAAAAATTTTATGAAAAGTGCCACATTATATATTTGTCCACAAAGTTAAAGCTAATGGAACAAAAAGAACAGTGGCAGCTATGCCGTTCGCTGTGCTGCAGGAAAGAATGAGAAGTGGTGAAAAGTTGTTTATCGGTAAATAGCGGGGATCCCCAGGGTCAGAACTAGGTTTTTCTTGATCAATCTAAATGACCTTTTATTTGACAAATAAAATGGGTATTAACTTTTTGGCATACTGTATTGCAGTCATAATTAACATTGACAATCTCATGGTGTTTAGAATTTAAATATTGCTGAGAAGAGACAAATGTTGCTGAAGCTTTTTGTCTTACGCTCAGCAGGACAAATGCAAGAACGCCAAATCTTAAATAATCACAACAAGTTATCCTACAGAAAAAGAGGTGCTGATTGATTGGCAAGTTGAATCTGGTCAAGGTGTTGCCATGGAGGAAGCAATGGGAAACTATCGTCTCCCTATGCTTTCAGGTAATTCAAAAATGGCACAAAGCTTGAACATTTTTTTTGTTTGCAGAGAACTGGTTCCTGCATGTGAATGTATACCGTTGCAATTAAATGTAAATCAGCCATGTTATGAGCTTGATTGATTATCTTAAATTACTTTTCAGTGTAACTATTAGTATGCTTGGGGTTATTCAGCAAGTTTTGCCCAATTGCAAACTCACACCCAATAGTAGATACTTTGTTTTGGAGTTTATAAGCATGAGCTAATAGCATTGTCTATATTCTGCCTATTATGAACAATGGGAGGAGGAGGAACATGCTGTTTGATTTGGTCAGTGAATCATTGGGATATACAACCTATGCAGCTGAAATTGTAGTGACACAGAAATTCACACAGGACAGATTCAAAACTGTTTTGGGCAGAATGTCTTTATCATTGATGGTACTGCTCTATTTGTGGTAAATACCTCTCATATCGCCACTGCAGTGTAGCAGCGTGAAAGTTTCCGCAACACATGTCTGTCTTTTCAGCAATGAACAGTTAATTCACACCTGTATAATTATAGAATGTGATCTTTTTTCAGAATGAGAACAAGTAAAGCTTCAAATGACTAGAAGACTGTACACAGTTATAGTCCATAGTCTTAACTCAATTAGATACTATTTTGAACTAGATTGAAGCTATATGAAAATAGAGGTGCAATTCAATTATATTCAGTTATACTCTTAACAGTCTGTTTTACTTTTCAGTATCATCACTGTCGACAGCTCTGTGCAGTCTTCACAGCAACGAATAGAGGATGGTGATGAAGAAGGTAATTCGATTAACTCCTGTTTACTCCATGAAAATGACATAGAAAATCAGCCATGATTTTATGTAAGGGCTGATTAGCCTATTCCGGCTCCCATCATTGGTGCTACAAAAATATGTTAATGTAGCTTCAAGACAATTATTTTTAGCTCAGTTTATTAATTTACAGTATACCATTGTATTATTGTTTTAAAAATTGTGAACGCTATACTTCTGATGAAAGTTTGGGAAATGGTTCATATTCTATTCAAGTATTGGCATCAAGGGCAGATAAAGTAGGCATAGAATAGTTGCTTATTGTAAATGCTACGCAGCAGTCTGACATCCATCCCATACCTCCAAATTAGATTAGCCAATTTATGCTGACTAAGTTATATCTGCTGAAAGTTAATTTGCGCAAGAATGTTAAAGTCAGCTGAAAAAGACCTTCATCTATCTGATCTATGTTGCATTTTTTTAAGCTTTAAAGGGCGTCAGTCTAGGATTTGTTTTTATTTTGCAGGCTTTCGTTTATTCTCCACATCTGTTCCAGGGGATTGTGGGAAAGTAGAATCCTCGCCTCCAGTTAAACGGAGACTTACGTCTAGTTCAAGGTAATGTCTGATTCTTCAATAGATCTGCTATCTTTGTCATAAATTTCTGGACCATATTGGTTTCTTGTTAAAATTGCAAAAAGAGAACTCCCATGGTCCAAAGATATGCAGGTTAGGTGGATTGGCCATGCTGAATTGCACATAGTGTCCAGGATGTGCAGACGAGGTGGATTAGTCATGGGAAATGCAGGGTTACAGGAATAGGGTAGGGTTGTGGTACTGGGTGGGATGCTCTTGGTGGGGGGGGGGAGCGCGGTGAGAAGGGAATCAGGAAGTCATGGGCCAAATGGCCTGCTTCCATTCTGTAGGGATTCTATGATTCCTTGGGAACAAACTTGCAGATAGGTTTTTCCAAACCCTTTTCTCATTGCAACTCCAAACAGGTAGGCAGTTTCAGTGAATTACATTGGGTCCTGTGTTGGTTCCAGAACCGTACACAATGTTGAATCTCACTGACGAGCTCTAGACCAGTGTTTTTCACAATGCAGCTCTCTGACTTCTTGACGCCCATACTTGTTTTCTCTGCAGCCTCTCATCCCATCCCTATTGTTGGTCTCTTCCCTCCCTCCTACCTCACCACCTCTCTCCTGCTGATCATTTCCCTCCCCAGTCTTCCTGCCTACGTCTTCTGTCCACACACACTCCTTTGTTCCCTGACCATCCTGCTCTCTGATATCATCGTCTCCTTCATCGCTTCCCTCCTTAAGCCTGCACTCAGCCTCTTATGCTCCCTCGTTTGCTTCCTTCCTCTTACAGCCTCTTACTGAAGCCTTTGCTTACATCAAATGCTTTAGAGAAGGAAGCTGTGACCAAGAGAGTGGGTCATTAATCAGACGGTGTGTCAGGAAGGGAAGTGGCATAGCTGAACATAATATCTAATTTTTATTTTCTTTGCATTCTCTGATTTATTGAAGACTGTTAACCTGATATGGGCTTATTAATATGCCTAAGAGCAGCTTTTCAATCACTGAAAATGCGAGTTCAGTAGAGTCATAGAGACTTATAGCATGGAAACAGACCCTTTATTCGAACCAGTCCATGCTGAATATAATCCCAAACTAAACCAGTCCAATCTGCCTGCTCCTGGCCCATCTCCCTCCAAATCTTTCCTATTCATGTGCTTATCTAAGTGTCTTTTAAACGTTGTAACTGTGCCTGCACCACCACTTCTTGAGAGTGTTGAATCCTCCACTGGATAGTGGCCTTGTTTAATCAACCAACAACTCCAACCAACAACTCCAACCAACAACTCCAACCAAC